TAATAATAATAATAATAATAATAATAATAATGTAGAAAAGAGATTAAAAAATTTTGGAAACTACATAAACTTTTTATTTGTTGTCATTTTGATTGTTTTGACGAAAATTTTCTAATGATATATTTTGTTATAAAAAAAATAATTATTATATTCTAATTTAATAAATTACATAAATTAATTAAAATAAACAACTCTTAGGGGTAAATTGGTCATTTTACTTGTTCTGTCATGTCCAGTTTCATCTTACCAAATGTTAAACAGTTGTTCTATCATGTCGTGTTCTATTCTGTCTTGTTTTGTCCTGTCATGTCCTGTCCTGTTTGGACACCAAACACGCCCTTAGAAACCCAGATCTTTGGTCACTTCACCAAATAGTGTTGAGGTGTATGTCACGTTATCTGTCATGTCAGCATGGTAACCGGCTAATGCTTAAACCGGTCACCTCATTTACTTAAATGTCTGTGATTATACATCTCATGTACCAAAATGAAGGTTTTGATATGTTACTTAAAATATGAATCAAGACAAAGTACGTTACTTTTTCATGCAATTTGTCATTCTCTAAAATAAAGAATTTGTTGGAGCTGAAAATAGTTTTTTTTGAGATTTTGATTTTTGTTTCTCCATTTTAGATAAATTATATAGAATCTGTTGGAGATGCTCTTAGAACACCTCCAACAGATTCTCCATTGGGTAAACAGGTTAATTGGTCAGTCCTCATACTAGTCTTTATTGCAAACTCCCAGCCTCCACCAGCTTTGAACAAAGCCCCTATATAACCAGTCTTTAGGAGCCGTTTACCAAACACTTACTCGGTAAGCGATTACCAAGTCACTTACTTTACCGGATAAATATTGTAAGTATTGATAATTTTACTCTATAAAAGTGATATGACTGAGAGTCTTACTCGATAAGTGAGGGCGATTACTCCTCCGATAAGCGGGGGAAGTTACTCATACCCGATAAGTGGGGGAGATTACTCCTATCCAGTTAACACTTGTCGGATAAATTATTGTATACAACGTCGTTTTGATGGTCTAGAATCTTACCTGGTTGGGTAAGTGTGAGTTTTGACTCTTACCAATAAACATATAACTGTAACTTGTCAGACCGGTCCCTTAACATGTGGTTTATTTAAATACTAACTATTTCTTGTAGGGAAATTAATTAAAATAGCCATTTTCGGCTTGTAATTTCATCTCTTAGCCATTTCTCTCCTAAAATCACCAATATGTCACTAGGTCTACAAGTGTCAGGTCTGCAATTTGTGGAAGGATCAAAACGTAAAAAGAGTTTTTGAATCAGATGCGCAAGTGTAAGGATCAAATCTGCAAAATTTTGAAATAGGCACGACAAATTTACATATTTAGTCCTTGCATTTACGGACCTGGTTCAGAAACTTTTTTTTCTTACACTTTGACCCGTGATATTTATTTAATAATATTATCTATACTATATTATAAATCATTTGACAAAAACTGTTAAAAATCAATTTATATGCATTAAGTACTGTATATTGATGCATATTACTTAAAATTCAAGATTACAAGTAAATTATGCATAAATACAACTTATTAAAGCTTCATGTTTGAATTCGTGTAACTAACTTCGGATAAACATAATCAAATAGAGGATAAACATCTCATTTTAAAATATAAAAAATCCTAAATATAATTACGATAATTATCGAGTTCTAACAAAATAATTAATTATTATTTTTATAAGAAAATTATATTATTAAACCAAACATAGATTACTTCGTTATTGAACCTAAATTAAAATTATAATAAAAAAATTGAATTAAAAAATTACACAAAAGTTGAGGAATTTTAAATAGTTAATTTGATATTAATATGGATATATTTTTGTCAAATTTTTATAATATTTTCAAATTTATATTTTATTCAAAAATAAAAATATTATCGCTTTTTAAAAATCAAATAAGACCATATTATAACATCGACTGAAATAAATAATAAAATGAAATACTAAAATCAAGATGTATCCCGCTACATTATGCGAGTACCGTTCTAGTTCTTAATAAATGTGCCAAAAAACAATCAAATGTTATTTTATTTATTTTAATAATAAATACAAAAAACTCCTAACCTTAAAAAACATTGACCGGTCCCGTAGACCGAGTTGGCTTCAACCGGTCCAATAACTAGCCCGTCTCTAAGATGGTGTAACTAGCCTGGACCGATTGGTCCTAACTTAATTGATCTAGTTTTCTTAACCTAGTGTTTTTTGCTCATCTATAAATTATCTTACACATGTTCACAACACAAAAATGATTGAAAAACAGTTAAGAAAATTCCGAGAGGTTTTGCAGGACTCGAACCACTGACCTACGAGGAAGAGCCCCAACATACTCACATGTTCAATCAGTTTTACGGTCGAGCCTCGGCGTGTTGCCCTTTTCATGGCTCAAAATCAACATATCGACCGTGTACTCCAAAGGGACGAACGATCGAGCTTTCATTACCCGCAAATATTTCTCCGATTCCGCCAATCTCCCGGCTCGGAAAAGACCAACAATTAACCAAGAAAACACCAATGCACCAGGAGATAGTTTCCTATATTCCATTTCATAATAAAGCTTAAGAACCTTCTCGACATCATTTTCTCGTCCATAACCTGCGATAAGGTAAGAATACGTATTCACATCCGGGACGAACCCTTTATCCAACAAACGAGTCAAAATCTCATCTGCCCGATGAACGTTTTCGTGTCCGTTTACTCTTTCAACCACTTCGTTGAAAGCCAAGCAACTTGGAATGAACCCATTCTGCATCATTTTCGCACACAATTCCAAGCTTTCTTCTAATCTTCCGACCTTCGAAAACCCAACGATCATATGAATATAAGTCTCGTTATATGCCTGCAAACCAACACGTTCCATGTCTTTAAACAACTCGTATCCATCTTCGATCATTCCAGCCTCACAATATGCACATATGAATGAAGTATGCACAAAAGAATTGGGTTTAAACCCTCTTTTGAGCGTTTCATCAAACACTTTCCATGCAGACTCCAATTCTCCTAGCTTTATCTTACCATACACAATCAAAGAACATGAAATGGTATCAAGAATCATGTTTTTTAGCAACAATTTCTTCAACAAAACTAACCCATCTGAGATTCTTCCCTCCTCTATCATCCTTAAAATCAGACAAGTGTTAACGATCACTCGAGGCAAGCATCTCTTCCCATCGATCCTATCGATCATATTAACGAAATTTTGCAGTTTCCCTTCTTTACATAATGCAGAAACCATAATCCCAACACTTTTTTCATTTGGATATGTTCTATGTTCGATCATATGCTCATAAACCCTCCAAACCAAATTCGTCTTATCTGATTTCTGAATTACGTGCAATAAGATATTATAACTGACCACACTCAATCTAAATCCATTTTCGCCCAAACAAAAACAAACATCTATAGCTTCATCAATCAATCGTAACTTCGAACAAATTTGAATCGATAAATCAAACACAAACTGATTTGAACCAGTAACCTCATAACTACTCATCAAATAATGTATAAACGAGATCACAGAATAAGAATCGTTACCATTACCATTACGATTACCTGCAGCGGATCTGGTGAGAACTGATTCAATAAGCGCGCTGGCATCTTTGATTAGCTTGGCGTTGACTAAAATGTGAATCAGAAGAGCGTATGTGTGTGTTGAGTGTGTGATGTTGGCGAAATGGGATGACCAATGGAAGAACGATAGGGCTTTTTTGGCATTTGGTGGATCCTTAAGTTGAATTAATACTCTGTTGATGATGGTTGAGCTTTTGATATCGGATAACTCGATATTTCGATTTAGGGTCTTCCAGTTTAGGTTATTTGAAAACGATTTGCAGAGATTGGTGATTGTTGCTGCTGTTTCATTTTCTTCCTCCGGCGCCGCCGTGTATGGTGATTCCGCCGCCGTATCGATGAAGCGATGGAGGTTGTTATTGATTGGAAGAAAGGATTTGGAGGGATTGATTCGGCGTAAGATCATCTTCATCACGAGAATTGTGATTGCAATTTGCTGCAATTTGAGGTTCAGGTACGATCGAATCTATAAAAAAAAAGAGTAACAATTTCGCAGGGTGTTTTTGAGATTGTTTATTTAAAACAACTTCGGGGTTGTTTTCCGAACAGTTTATCCGGGTAAACGTTTACCAAGTCATTTTATTTTACCAGATGAATATGATAAAGATTAAGGGGCCTTTTACCAAACATTTACCTGGTAAACGCTTACAGGTAAAATTCAACACTATCACTTTCTTACCTGGTAAGATTTTAGTCCATCAAAACGGCATTGGATACAACAATTTACCTGGTAAGTGCTAACCGTAGTAAGAGTCATCGTTCTCACTTACCGGATAAGACTCCTTGGTCCTTGTCATATTCATCCGGTAAGGAAATGTAACTTAGTAAGCATTTACTCGGATAAATGTTTGGTAAACAACCCCTAAAAATCTTACCCGGTAAAAACAATGGCAAGAATCGAGAGTCTTACCCGGTAAGTGAGGACGATGACTATTACCATGATTAGCGCTTACCGGGATAAATTATTGCATACGATGCATTTTAGTAAATAAAATCTTACCCGGTAAGTAAGCGATAATGTTGAATTTTACTGGTAAGTGTTTACCGGGTAAGTGTTTAGGTAAACGGCCTCTTCTACTTTTTCGTAAAAGTGTTCATCAACTTCCTGGTAGTAAACTGGAGTTTTATAAAAAATGTTTGAGTTAGCTTATGGTGGTACCACACCAGATAAACTAATAAAATAGATGAGATATTTTTTTTCTTTTCTCATCCAAATACTAAAAAAACTTCTTATTAGTGGTATCACACCGGAATAAGTTAATAAGTTAGAAGAAAGTAATTTGTTAAAAACTCTTTATTATCGGTGTCAAACCAATATAAGCATTTCCTTTTTTCTCTCCATCCAAATACTAAAAGCCCCTTATTACCGGTACCACACGGAAATAAGTTAATAAACACTTTAAATAAGCAATCTCAAACACCCCCTTAATGAAATGTGTAACTATTATTTATGCAATTGTATTGTAATCCGGAAGGTGATATTTGGTTTTTTAAGATGTGTTGAAATTTGAAGTCTTATTTCACTTTTGATTGATAAAAGGTGATGTTAAAGTTTTGAAGCAGAATTAACAAGGCTATTTATTTTTGTAAAATGATAAATGTCTAAATTTGTTTAAACTGTCTATTTTACCCAATACAAACTTATGGTGTTGAATTTATAGATAAATTTATACAGTTTTATATATTTATTCATTATCATTACGAAATTTACATCTCAATTAAATAATTAGCATTCATTTAAACGAAAATATGTCACTGATGATATTTAACACATTTAAATCCTATTAAAATACATCGATTAAGAGAGGTGATGATCAATTTAGTAAGGATTGACTGAGCGAAGTGATCGATTAACGTTTAATCATTTAGAAACGTCATTGCTGAAGGTTTGGAAAACAATAATAGACAAATAAGAGGTCAGTTTACCTCTTACCATATAAGAGGACGATAAGACGTAAATGCTTTTGAAAAATGGGTGAATGGACATATCTCTTAAAGAATCAGACATAAAAGGGCAAGGCCTAAATGTCTATTTTCTCATTACACTCTTACGGGATGTTTACTAAACACTTACCAGTAAACGCTACCACTTACGGGATGTTTACTAAACACTTACCAGTAAGTGTTTACTGGTAAAATTCAACACTACCACTTACTTACCGGGTAAAATTTTAGTCTCTTGTGTTAGGCAGGGATAAAAGAAATGTTCTAATAGTATCTTGGTAGAGGCAGAGGTGGAACACAACTAGGGCTGTAAACGAACACGAACGAACACGAACGGAGGCTTGTTCATGTTTGTTCGTTTAACTTAACCGAACAAACGAACGAACACGAACGGTAAACGAACGAAAATCTTTGTGTTCGTGTTCGTTCATTTAGAAATAAGGTGTGTTCGTGTTCGTTTATGTTCATTCGTTAACATGCTAAACGAACGTAAACGAACGAACATAAACGAACGGGTTAAACGAACAGATTAAACGAACATAAATAAATATTATTTGAATTCAAAGTAAATAAATAAAAGATTATATATTAAATTTGATATATAAACGAATATAAACGAATGGTAAATGAACGAACGTTCACGAACATAAATGAACGAACGAGACTCTTGTTCATGTTCGTTCGTTTAACTAAACGAACAAAAAAAATTGTTCATGTTCGTTCATTTATTAAATAAACGAATATTCCCGCCGAACGGTTCATGAACGGTTCGCTGAACGTTCGGTTCGTTTACAGCCCTAAACACAACTGGACTGGATCAACATAATGGAGGGGATCAAAAGAATTTTATAAATAAAACCTTAATGGACTGGAGATGTTTCACTCTATCTAAAAAAAGAACCCAAGGGCCAAGGCCTCTAATGACCATCCGCCCTTGGGTAGAGGGAATGACATTCGCTGATGTATCTATGAATTTAACAATATAGTACTATTTGCTGGTATTTTCCAGATAAAAAATCCACAGATGAAATAATCAATGCTAACTGACCAAAACTGAATTTACAACAGAACTTAACAACATAAAGTTAACTGGGAATGTATTGTATTGAAAACAACATAATTTAAACCGAAGAACCAATCATTAACTCGCGAAGATGATTGGATACCATTTTAACAATTCAAATTCGAAAATGCTCGATTTGTGTGAAAAAACTAGAAATATGTAAGCCATCGACACTTACCATTTTCGTTATATAACTAATTCGTTCTATATGCAATTAAATCAATAATAAGATCCTAACCAGTGTTTCCGTTCTCTAACAGAACTATCAGTTCGACACAACGTTCACTTTCCGTCTTACTCTTGTTCTTCTGGTGCCGCCTCTTCCGGTTTCCCATCCTCATCACCTGCAGCTTCGTCTGCTGACGTTGTACCGGTTTTTTTCATCGTAGCAGTTTCTTTAAGGTGGGCATAACTACCCTTTTCTTTAAAAAGTTGCGCGAAATGTGGCTTGCAGAACAGATTTCCGTCTAAAGCAGCGTAATTAGACGGTGTGAGAAAACAGCCACCTTGAGCGCATCGAAAGCATCCTTTATGGTAATACTCTCCTTCAACAGTTACCTAAAGAGAATTACTGATATATATCTATAGCATAACTAAAATGTATTTTAAAACATTAAAAAAATTGCAAAAAATGATTTTTTTAATTAAATATTATTTTTTAATTAAATATTATTATTTTTATATTAAAAAAAACAAAGAATATTGAGAACACAAACCTTTTCAAGTGGATACACAGTTTTCTTACAAACTGCACATTTTTCTTGAGTCCCAGAAAAGAAGGCTGCTAATTTACTAGGGGCTTTTCCCTATAAAAATAAATAAATAAATTAATTAATTAAAAGAAGAATAAATTGCATGAAAAAATAACGTATTTTAACTTGATTCTTATTTTAAGTAACGTACTTTTAAAACTTTCATTTTGGTATTTAAGATGTAAAGTTTTAAATATTTAAGTATCGGGGTAACCGGTTGAAGCATTAATCTGTTATCATGTTGATGTGGCGAGTGATATGGTATTCAACTCAATATTATTTGTTGACGTGATTAGTGACATGAATTTTTTTTTAATCTAAAATTAGTTTTCAATCGGTTACCTGGGTACTTAAATGTTTTAAATTTTACATTTTAGATACCAAAATAGAATTCTTAAAAGTATGTTATCCGACATAGGAATCAAGTTAAAATAGGTTGTTTTTTTTTTTTAAATTATTTAAAATATAATAATTTCTATAATTAAATGCATAAACAAAGGAACATGCTTACCCCATCCTGTGTTTTATTCCCAGCTGGTCATCATAATATTAATTTAATTAGTAATTATTCATTAAAAATAATAATAAGAAGAAGAAGAAATAGAAATTTAATTAATATAAAAGGAAAAATTACATGAAAAAATAACGTACTTTAACTTGATTTCTATTTTATATAACGTACTTTCAAAAATTTCATTTTGGTACCTAAGATGTAAAGTTTTAAATATTTAAGTATCCGAGTAACGCTTTTAAAGTATTAACCGGTTACCATGCTAATGTAGCGAGTCATGTGGTATCCAGTTAATGTTTTCATCAAATAATACTGAGTTGGATATCAAATCACTCGCCACATCAGTACGGTAACCAGTTAATTTTCTTCAACCGGTTACTCGGGTACTTAAATGTTTAAAACTTTACATCTTAGGCACCAAAATGAAAGTTTTGAAAGTACGTTACACAAAATAAAAATCAAATTAAAATATGTTATTTTTTCATGTAATTTGTCAAATACGACACTTACATGTAACTTTAGGGAGACCTCCTCTCTCCTTGAACTTTTGTTCAAAATGAGGTTTGCAAAATAGGACTCCTTCCAATGAGGAGTAAGTGCTCATCTAATACACACAAATAAATTTATATAAATATATATAAATTGATCTGTTCAGACTGATAAAAATACTGAGAATGTAAGAATAGATCTTAACATGCAGTAAGGTGAAATGATGTAAATTTGTGATTAAAAAAGATTCATTTAACAACTATAAATATTCTGATAACTGTAAGAACCAAATATTCATGATGAATATCATGGATGAATATTTGGTTTATCCAATGGAATTATGCATCCCATGGAATTCAATTTCATCAAAATATGCAATCAAATGCCACTTGAAATATGACGATGATACGGAATTTGTAATTCCGTTCCATCACATTCTAATGAATCAAATGTCCGTTAAAAGTCTCGAATGATGGTTCAGTATTAAAAATAAGGGATTCAATACGATGAATGGTTTGCTGTATTTTACTGCAAATAAAAGTAGAACCGTCAATTTAAGATTGAACTGTATGATGAAATCCAGTAAAAGTTTTCAACCTCAGAAACCAAAGACTTTTCATATTCCAAATCTTGTTTGGCTTGACGTTAAGATTACATCTATTATAAATGCATTATTGCATATCATGTAAACTTCCAAAACCACGATTAATAAAACGTGGGATTGCGAGTCAATCAAATAATCCAAGATGTGGGAAACCCACAAAAGAAATACCGTGAGCTTGCCGTTGCATTGGCTGCATCTGAAGCAGGTTTTATGGTACGTGACTCCATCAGCAGTTATCATTTCAAGAAAATAAACAGTCTTTTCACAGATCTTGCATTTCTCTAAAGTTCCAGTAAACGCCATTTTCTTCCCCCCACCCTTCTGTTTTTACCTTCTTCCTCTTGTTCTTTTCTGTTTTGTAATCTGAATCTAAAATAATCGTGTTATAACACAAAAACGTGCAAGAAATATTTGAAAGAAAAAAGGTAAGGCAGGGAAACTTCCATCTTTTCAAGGGACTTAATTTAGTTCTTAAATGCAATTTTTCCTCTAAAATGTTTGAAGAGAGAATTTCGTGAAACCAACGATAGGCTGAGGTTATTAATGGACAGCGTTTTATTGGATTTGAGAACAATTAGGATGTAAACAGGGATATATGTTGTCTTATAAACACAGTACTCTTCGATTGGATTACTTATGTACATACAGTTCAGATCGTGGCACATATAGCATATAAGAGGAAGGATCATGCGAGAAGGCAATAAGTTTCAATATCATATATGATTACACTTATTTGGGTGTGTTTAATCTCATATATGATTAGGCGTCCATATGTTGTCAGTGCATCATGTGTTTAATCGTATATGATTAAGCTTATCATATGTGTAATCATATATGATATTAAAACTTCTCGTTTTTTGTAAAATGTTTAGCTTTTCGTTTGAACTTGTCCCCATAACAAGAAAATTGACTTTATAGGACGCCTAAAACCTAAAAAATTTAGAAGCATTCTAAAAAGATACTTTATATGACCAAAGCAAAAAATGTTCTATCTAAAAGTGTTACAATAGGATTATAGGACGCTTTTAGGCGTTTTAACAAGTTTCTCCGGACGTTTTTAAAAGAAAGTGTCGTATTAACTATTTTATATGACATTATTTGATAAAGTATACTATGGACACATGTGTATTATAAAAGACGAGTTTATAGGACAAGTGTCCTACAAAATAATTAATATGACACTTTATTTTAAAAGTCGTGACGGACCTACAGTAGAGCATACGGTGGCACGTGCCACCGTATTATTTCTCCGTCGAAGGGTAAAAAAATTTAGGTTCATAAAAGGTGCAACCGTACGTATTTTGAAGTTATAATGAGAACAAGTTTTATTTGGTAGGGTTGGTTTACAAGGTTTTTATTCCACTCCAGACCCAAATTCTAATCCTATTAGTGTCATTTTCTTAGTCAAATGGTTTCACCCTTTGAAAAAAAAAAATTATGTACATTTGTTTCTTATAGTCAAATGGTGCCACAGTTTAAAATCTTTTTCTTATATTTTTTTTCTTATAGTCAAATGGTGTCACCGTTTGAAAAAACTTATGGGTCCATCCCCCTTAAAAAGCGTACTCAAAATCTCGTTAAAACGCCTAAAAGCATCATATGAACATATTGTAACGTTTTTAGATATGACGATTTATATTTTGGTTCTATAAACCTAAGTTTTATAAAGTTGTCTATAAAAACGCTTAGATAATATATTTTGTTGTAGTGATCTACTATATAAACTTATAAAAGTGATGGTTCGGTCGGTGCTATAACCATTTGCCCCCGCGGTTAAGTGGTTCGGTGGGTGCTAACCGTTGATCCCATGTGGCTACGCCCCTCGTCCTGGACCATACCTTGTGCTAGCTGCCACCAAGGATTTCAAAACCTTAACTGGTTTTTTATTCTAATTGCTTATTTAAATATAATTATTTTAAGTTAAAGTTGTATGAATAAAAAAAATAGAGGAACTTTTAAAATATACATTGTTTATGTTATATAAACCAATTAATTGAGATATTTATGTAATTAATGATTTATTATGATTTAAATATTTATAGAAGATGATTAGAGTTTATTAAGTTACAATCGAGATAAGACACTGTATATATATATATAGGCGAAAAATCGTGTGAGAAGAGAAATTATAGTGAGAAACGTAAGAAGAGATCTGAACATTGATCAAGTTTAATCTCATGTCCACCCATGAATTGCACTTTAAAAAGGAATTGATTTGATGCATCCCGGTGCACCTTATTAGTATTTACATTTAATTAGGGTTGATCCAAGGATGAAGATAGCTTCTTATGCTTCTCATCATAACTTCCCTTCTTATCGGAACCCAACCATAAATATAATGTTCATATATATATATATATATATATATACACACACAAAATATTATAAAACATTTGACAAAAACTCTTAAAAACTGTTTTTTATGTATGACATACTGTTTATTACTGTATATTACTTAAAATTTAAGATTACAAATAAATTTTGTGTAAGTACAACTTATTAAAGCTCTATGTTTGAATTAGTATAACAAACTGTAGATAATTATAATCAAATACATGATAAGTATCTCATTTTTAAATATAAAAAATTTAAAATATAATTATGATAATCATTGAGTTCTAACATAACACTTCATTATAATCTTTATAAAAAATTATATTGTTAAATTAAAAATAAATTACTTTGTTATTAAACCTAAATTAGATTATAATAAAAAAAATTGAATTAAAAAAGTTACACAAAAAGTAAGACCTTTCAAATAGTAAATTTGATACTAATATCGATATATTTTTATTTCAAATTTATATTTTATTCAAAATAAAAACATTGTCGCTTTGTCAAAACCACATAAAACCGTATTACATCGACATAGACAAATTAAAATCGAAATGTATCTCGCTGCATTGCGCGAGTACCCTTCTAGTACATATATATATATATATATATATATATATATACACACACACACACACACACACACAAAAGACATTATTTTGAGAACTCATGAAATTATAATAACCTTAATAACTAGTACATTATGTGCTATTTAATATGATTCTTTTCATCTACAACTAGGATTTAAAATATTGATCAACATAAATTTGTTTCACAATGTGAACATTTTTAGCATGTTTTAGAAACAAAAGCTGTACGTAAATAAAAGGTTTCACATAGTGAGCCAAATATATGCTTATCAATACATTAAATGCTAGCCTTAGATGAGAAAATTCATGTGAAACAATGCCTTAAGGTAAAAATTCTCACGGTTATCACAATATATGAAAATCTCAAATGATTAAACCCGTATATAGATAAATATTTTGTTTGTAACCGTGATTTGTGAAAATTGTTATTTTCATCCTTGTCGTTAGGAGATACGATTTTCATTCTTGTGAAACAACTAGACATGACCAAAAACCGGTCCTGGGCGGGACCCAAATCGGTCCTGGGCTGAAACACTAACAATCCGAACAGATCTCGGTTCCGTCGAAAATACTAAGGCCCGGTTAAGAGTACTTGTAACCGGTCCCGGGTCGGGCCCAAACCAGTCTTATATTTAAAAAAAACATTTTTTTTATATATTTTTTAAATTTCTTTAAGTTTTTGAAAATACTTTAATGTTATTCTAATACACTTTAAAATATCTAATTAGATCAACCAAATACATTTAAAAAATACGTTTTATTATAGTTTTATAATTGGTTTTCAATCAAATACACTTAAAAATTAAGTTTTATCATAATTTTATAATTGATTTTCAATCAAATACACTTAAAAAATATGTTTTATTGTAGATCTGTAATTTGATTTTTCAATCAAATACACTTAGTAAGTTAGAAATGCATTTAAAAATACATATAAAAATGCATGAGAAACCCCAGGGCTAGGATTGGCCCTAGAATGGATAATCACCACAATTGATTATTCATGTATTGATCGGAAGTTGATATTCATACCTTGGAGGTGTTGACGGTTCTCTCCTTTCGGGTTACCTGCACTTATTAGTAAAATGTTTTTAGACGATTTTCGTTAACAATTCCAATCGATTTCAAGTTCCTACAATCCCTTCTATTTTAAAAGAGCACGCGGACCTTCAAACATGCTTAAGATACCCCTAGGACACTTGATAAACACTTACACAATTCTTAAGACCCTAAACAACATTTGTAAAAATTCAGTTTTACACTTCAAAACAGTAGCTAACAGCTTCTATCCACCTAAAGTTTAAGCTCTTATATCAAACTTAGAGTCTGAACCAAACTTTCTTATCGAAATAAAAGTTGTAGATATACCGCCTAGGGTTTCATAGGAACTTGACTCATATTAATTGGAGCTATAATCTATTTACTACAGAATTTATATGAACAGAACACAATTTCGAGCGGCTACAGATCAGGTCTGGAAAATCAGTGTTCTCAAACCACTTAATGTTTGAATTAGATTTCTACGTAAACTACAATGTTGTAGTACACTCAAAGAGATTTCTAACAATATAAGCACATTTTATTTGGCCAAATGGTTTATTTTATACGAATTTTTAAACTTATCTGAATGAATCTGATTTTAAAGAAAAAAATTGTTAAAAAAGTTCAGAGACTTAATCATTCGAAGAATAAAAGTTGGGTTTATTACATTCATCTCCAAAAAAATGGATATTACAATATTACATACTTCTAATAAAATATTTGAGGGCAAATTGCATGTAAAAGTAACGTATTTTGACTTGATTCATATTTTGAATAACGTACTTTCAAAACTTCCATTTTGGTACCTAAGATGTAAAGTTTTAAACATTTAAGTATTATGGCAACGTTGTTGAAGCATTAACCGGTTACCATGTTGATGTGACGAGTGATGTGGTATCGGTTAATACTTCAGCAAATAATATTGAGTTGCATACCACATCACTTGCTACATCAGCATGGTAACCGGTCAATGTTTCAACTGTTTACCCGGGTACTTAAATATTTAAAACTTTATATCTTAATTATCAAAATAGAAGTTTTGAAAGTACGTTACCCATAATAAGAATCAAGTTAAAATATCTTATTTTTTCATATAATTTGCCCCTTATAATATTACAATATTACACACTTTTAATAAATAATCGGGTATTTAAAATTTTAAAACTTTACATCTTAGACACCAGAATGAAATTTTTGAAAGTATGTTACCAAAAATAAGAATCAAATTAAAACACCTTATTTTTTTCATACAATTTGCCCCTTGTAACATAACAACGGCACACACTTCAAGCAAAATATTTAAAGGTTTTTTATCGGCAGAATATAATATAAAAAAATGTTCCGTTATCACGGTAATCATCCTACTTCTCCAAATTTAGTAAATTTCACGCTCTCTCTCCTACTTTTTTCCTTTCAATCAGATATCCGAAACAAAAGTTTACTGAAATTTACATTTTCTCTGTTTTAAAGAATCTGTATTCGCATTTTTTTTAAGCTACAGATTCAGTGAACATCGAACGACAGAAAAGATTCAAAGAAAGATTCAGAAAACCAACGACTGTAAATGTAATTAAACACCTTACAACCAGCTGCTTGTTTTCATTCATAAACTATGGGGTTTCCATTGCACCACCCATAGAATTCCCACAAAACCCTTCTCTTTTTAAACACAAACACATACATATACATACATACATACATATATATATATATATACACACACATACATATATATATATATATATACACATGTGTATGTATCATAATCACCAGAAAGTTTCCATTTTTATCGAGATTTTCTGCGCAGAAATGGACGTATTCATCCCGGAAGAATACATGGTGAAACGACGAATGGAGAAGAAGGCGGCTGCAGCCGTTGCAAAGGCTAACGGTGGATCCGAGAACGATAACAGCGGCAAAAAGATGACCAGAAAAGGCCGCTCGTTGTCGCATTCGATCAACGTTCGTCAAAACGAGCATGGATTTGGCGAAAGTTCGTTTTTTATCCTTTGCTTTTCACCTTGAGATCGAACAACTTTTTTTTCGGTTGATATTTAGGTATATATATATATATATTATATATATGTGACAATGTAGCATCAAGATTTTTGGGAAAAAGAGTTACATTTTAGTTGTTACTGCTAATAATGTTATCGAACGTACGATATGATCTTTACAATATATATATATATACATATATATATACACACACACGAATGTTCGTGTGAGAACAGGAATAAGGTGAGAAGTGTAGGAATCCCACACAATCCATATGGTAACTGTTTTGTTTATGGTAACTGTGAGATCTAATCTCAATCACAAATTAAAAGTTAAATTAGAAAATTAATAATTTTGACAATTTTAACTTCAAATATTAATTAAGGGGGTTTTGGGGATTTTATAAATATCTTCTCTTATCATTCCTCTTTCTTCTCTTCGGCGAACCTTATTTCGATAAATCTTATGTGAACACAAGGTACGCACTCTGATACCTACAAACGATATTTACTGTGATACCAGGATATACATACAAGATGCACAATGTGGTATCCGTTGTAAATCAATGAAAGTAACGAAAATGCACATTATGATACATTTCATAAAACAAAGAAAATGCATTGTGATACATGTGAAACATTGTGAACGTTATCACTGTGATGCATTTTGATTCACAAATGTCTTTAAAATACGATGTATATTAGGTAATTCATATACTAGGTAACAAATTTTAATTAAATATTTGCTTCTAAAATTTTTAATTAAATATTTTGATTAGTTGTCAAAAATAGAATTACTATATTAACATTTTAGCTTATTTAAGAAATATCCTTAAATATCTCAAACGAGTAGTTCATTGTATCTCACGGTTATCATAAACTAATCAGTTATCCCTTGAATTGACCATATATATATATATACATATAGACTTGGGATAACGTGAAACCAACCTGTTTTCATGAAACCACTTTTTTACACTTGAAACTTCATAGTAAAACGTTCTGAAGGTAACCTTCACAGTGTTTTTGCTATGAAGGTTCGGCGTTTTTTACCTTCACGGCGTTTAGCTGTGAAGTTTCAAGTGTAAAATATTGATCTCACGGGTCTTACAAAAACAAACTGGTCTCACATGAATCCAATCCTATATATAAAAGACAGTACAAATATTTTAAATATAATAAATGTATAGTACTATTTTGTTGATATAAAATTATGCAATTACGAAAGCAATACAATGCGTTGGAATTGATAAAAAAAAATACTCTTAAACAGAAACAAGCAAATGTATAATATAAGAAATAATATTTAATTCAGAACAAATTTGATCAGTTAGACGTATATTTTTTTCATATGGATGAAAAGAAAGAGAAACGTGAGAACCACGAAGGAAAGAACATGAGGGGAACAAAATCACGACACGAATTCTAAAGAGAGTGACACAAACATAACGAGACATAGTAATGAGGACAGAACATGTGGTAGCGTGTCAAACGAGACACGAAAATACGACAAACGACGAGAGGGATAATTTAACCCTCTTTATCGGGGGGTTTCCCAGGAATTAAACCAACTTCAGGAGATGAACCATACACTGCCCATTTAATTACGTAGTCGTAGTTATTTTTACTGAGCATTCAGAAAGCAGATATATAAACTTACGATTTTTAGGTTATTCAAAGCAGTTCAACTGAACTTGCGGTCTACTGTTTCTTGTCCATATATTCTTCATTCAGACTGGGATGGTCAGAAGCGTTCGGATGAACCAAATCTATCAGAAAATCAAAAACGTCGGTCGTAACCACAGCAGACGCAACGTCTTCTTTGTGTACGGTTCGTCTCTTGCCTTGGATGGTCATGTTCCAAGATCTCTTGGTCAACTCCTCGATGAAAAGCTCACAAGCTTTTGAAAACACAAGCGGTGCCTCTCCTGATATCATCTTTACATCCACACTCGATTTCTTCATAATCTTTTTGATCCTTGCCAACGGCAACAAATGGGGCCCGGTTCGCCCTGATATCCCTCCCCCAGATAAAATCCCCGAATAAGCCCCAGCCTGCCTCATCTTTTATTGATCTTGACACAACTCGAACAGGGTTGAACCAACAGTTCGCACAAATCTTGACTCGACTCGAAAGAGTGCTAAACCAACTACTTGATGGCAAATACGCTCTTGCTTTTGTGACGTAAGTCACGAACGAAAAACGAAGGGGTAAAAGTGGAAAAAAGAGATTATATTGATAGTTATGAGAAATGAGCAAAGTTTTTGATATGTGTATATATATAAAAGATGGAAAATAATTATAAAAATAATAATAGGGTGGCCGGCCCGGTTCGCCAGGTTGCATGCTTGGGTGGCCGGCTATTTTACTAAACCGAATCAAATTTACAATTTACACGTCTTTTTTTTCGTATTTTATTTTAATTTTTTAAATTTAGTTGAAACCGGAATATTTTCAATTAAAAATAGAAATTACTTTTTGATGGATTATAAGTTTTTCTTTTTCTAATTAATAAGCAGAGGTTTATAATTTTTGTCGAGCAAATGTATTTTTCACTTAAGGGGTTGTTTAACAGTTATTGAATGGTCTAGTGCAAACTGATTAAGTGGTTATCTATACTATTTTATAAAGCATTTGGCTAAAACTCTTAAAAACTCTTAAACCCGTTCATCCCTTAACGATTTCATCCCTATCCGATTTCATCCCATATCTGAATTCGTG